TATATAGGTTAGAATATTAAGATTCAATAAAAACCTGGTATCAAATACCTGTTTATCTTAAAAAAAAAAAAAAAAAAAAAATTTTTTTATTTTTTTTTTTTTTTTTTTTTTTTTTTTTTTTTTTTAAGTAATGAAACTATTTATATTTTTATAAGAATCCAAATTTTTATTTTGCACAAATTTGTACTACCTGTCACTTATTTTTGGTACAATGGTAAAAGGTTACGAAAATATATAAAAAAGGAAATCAATAACTTTTGATATCATGTGGTGAAACATTTAATTCGAGAGAAGCAGGAAAAGCCAAACAAGGCAAATTTAATGTGTCACAAATTGAACACTCCTGAAAAAATCCAATTATTTAAATATTCGAACCATAAACCTTTCAACCATGGTCTCATTAATCCGTCAAAAAGAAATCTCAACCATTTATTCTTGAGACGTCCCAAACCTATCAATTATAGTCGCATTCATCCGTAAAACTTAATCTAGTGAGTGTAATCCTACAAGTTCTTAATTATGCCGAGTTAACGTAACTAAATTCTTGTATATTCGTTATTTGAAGAGTATGACTGTTACTTGTCCTGACCTGACGGGTAGCTGTTCCGACCTGAGCTTATGCTGCGATCGAAATTATGGCAATTTTTTGATAGGTTCTAGATGCGCCAATACATATTCTTGTGATTTATATTATAGTGATTATGGCGCTTGCACTTGCGAAAAGTACGTCAAGCCAGGGATATTGGCAGGAATTGTTATTGCATGTATCATAGTATTCGTGACCTGTGTTGCCCTTTTAATTATTCGGAGAAACAAAAGACGTCAAGAGATGGGACAATCTCAACAAATGATGGGACAAACACCACCAATGTATGCGCAACAACCACAACCACAACCACCACCTCAACCACCTCAACAAATGTACGCGCAACCACCACCTCAACAAATGTACGCGCAACCACCACCTCAACAAATGTACGCGCAACAACCACCTCAACAAATACCTCAAAATACGATGTATAAATAAAATCGGTAGGCAATTTATGAACCATGTTTATCCTGGCCTACAAAGCTTGCGATCAGTTATTAACAATCTTTCTCGAAATCAAATGTTAGAAGCTAAAGGCAAAAGAATTTTCCTTCTGATAGATGTAAATTATTTTGTATCAATTATCAATCACTCTCTATTACTTAATTTGCAAATTCATAAACGTTCAAGTTTTAATCTCTTATATAAAACCGAGAAATTTTGAAAATTTCAGAAGATAAATTAGATGCTGGTTTTATATCATTGATAGCAATAAAATTTACCACTTATCAAAAAAGAAACAAACATACAATGCTCAATTGTCTATTAAATTAAGTTAATCATTTGATTTGCTGTCTAAATATTACATCGATGAATATCGACTACTTTCGCTCCAAAAAACATTATCAACCTGGAATGTTATAAAAGTACGTAACGAATTTGTTAAAATCTCCTTTCTGCAATGCAATTTTTAATATCATCAATCTGTTTGTTTACAACGTGGAGGAATAAAGTTGATTATCTTGATTATAATTTGTTGACATCTATCGAAAGAAATCAATTAATTGTTTCCTGAAACTTCTAATTACAAGGACAACTAAAAATTTCGATATCGTTGAATAAATTCTTTGGTTTTTTATATCGCAAATCTTTGTTTAAGGGGTTGTGTGATCAGTGAGCTAGTTTCACAAAGAAAATGGAAATCAACGTAACTCAACGTTCCTTCTGCATAATGTCATCGATTTAAAATTTGAATTAATTAATTAATTAATAATTTAATTATGAAGTCAAAATTTAATTCTTGTAACATCGTACGGATTAAAATTACCAAATAAGAAATAAATATACATTATTGGCAATCCAATAGATGCGATGCGCGCACCGCATCTGAAAAGTATTGAGTACTACCCTCTATTGGTAAAGAAACAATCTAATTTATGAACGCGTGCGTTGTACTATAAGGAAACCAATGAAGTTACTCATATAATTTTTTATGCGTATATATCAATTCATTAATTATAACATGAGCCGAAAAGAAACCGCTATAATTCAATGCAACACATGTATTACAAAACGATAGGAAAGTTCCTCTCATTTATAAGCGTAACAATAGAGCTCGAATTCGAGCTTCTTTCGTTTTACATCTTTTCCCCTTTCGTTTTTCATCCATTCTCCCTTTCACCTTTTACCGATAGATTCTCCTCTTTCACTCTCTTTACATGTCGAGAATCTGATTTTCTTCCCCAAGGAAACTCTCTCCCTCTCTCTCTCCCTCCTCTCCCAATATTGATACAGTCTTTTTTTTTTGATACTATACATAACATAGAATAAATTAATCAACATGGATACGGACGAGAAACTTTGGCGTCGATTATCATCCGCCTCTAAAGACGCCGAATCTAATGAATGGCTGTTGAAACAACAGCAGAAGGCAAGAAGGCAAAAGATAATAATAGCAACGATCGGTCTAGCTATACTTGGAGCTATAGTTGCCGTAATTGTTTTACATTATCTTCATCCAAACTCGCCTATATATCCTACCGGCAGCGGATCCAACGGGGGAAATTCCACTGACAATGGAAATAGTCCAAGCAGTGGAAATCCGAGCAAGTCAAATAATAACACCATCATACCCGACAAAAGCCTCATACATTCATTCTATGGAATTGGCTATACACCGCTCAATACACAGTTTCCTTCGTGTGGTGCAACTTTGGCTAACATCACCGAGGATATTAAAATTCTCTCTCAACTTACATCGAGAATACGTCTTTATGGTCAAGACTGCCAGCAAGCTGATATGGTGCTGCAAGCAATTAGAAATTTAAAAGTCAATATGTCTGTCATGTTAGTAATCTCTTTCTTTACTCTCAATAATGATAATTGACACTCGTTATTAACAAATATATATTATACTTACAAAACAGTTTGACGATTTGGGTCGACAGTAATATGACGACGTACAAACGTCAATATGATTCATTTTTCAATACATTAAAAACCTATGGGGCTGACGGGAATATTGATAGCGTATCAGTAGGGAACGAAGTGTTATTTAGAAAAGAAATAAGTTCGTCCGATTTATTCGCCAGGATGGCTGATGTACGATCAAAAGTGAAAGCGATGGGTTTCAAAGATATAAAAGTCAGTACTTCGGATTTAGGGTCAAATTATGATTCATCCATGATAAAAGCCTCAGATACTCTACTTGCCAATATCCATCCCTTCTTTGCCGGGGTACCTGCAGAGCAAGGTTCCAATTGGACGTTTAAATATTTTAACGACAACATTGTTGTACCTGGTATGGGAAAACCTGCGATCATCAGTGAAGTCGGGTAAATATTTATTATTATATTTATTTTATTATTCATTCATTAAATAAATGCCTAATCTCTTTTTCTTTAAAAAACTAAAAATAGTTGGCCAACCCAAAATGGCACACTTAACGCTTCGATAGCTTCCGTGCCTAACCTACAAACTTTTATGGACGATTTTGTCTGCGAAGCAAACCGCCGTAAAGTTCCTTATTACTTTTTCGAAGCTTATGATGAACCTTGGAAGATCATTACCGGCAGTGAAATGGAATGCCATTGGGGGCTCATGACTGTAAACAGGGAGCTTAAAGTAAAAATTCCAAACTGTCCTATCGACTAAACTAATTTTCGGAGTGAGACGAATGCACACTGGTTTGTCATACGATAGAATTCATTTCGTTCCTCAAGAAGATATTTTTTACACCAGAGCCCTTCATCTTGTATAATTTCGACTTGCTGACAAGTAATTCATCACAAATATCAGATGTTAAATAAATATTGAAAAAAGATGTTAGTTTTAGATATCAATATACCACTCTTCTATTCCGCATAATATCAGGGTTTCCATACATAATCAATATTAATATACTGTACATATTTATTATAAATAATTAAACTCCGAAATATTTGTACAGTAATCAATCAGTGGAGTTAAGCTTCCAGTAATTTCTGTCAAGTCCATCATATTTTGAATGTTTTTTATTGCAAAACAAATCAAAATTTGGTTGATAAAGATATATGATTATTATATTCTACTGTATTTCAAATATTCTTTTTTTATGTTTCACAAAATTTTTTTAATAACATTATATATAACATTGGTGATACATCCAGGCGACTTATTATAAAAATTTTTAATTTAATTAAAATACGTAATCATCATATTGAAATAATAATAATAAATTAAATGAAATATCGGATTTAATTAATATTCAAAACTTGTAAATCTAATTTAAAATTCTGAAAATTTAATTGATTTTTTAATATACAGTAATATTATTGATAACGCTTAATTTTCTTGATATAAAACCATGCAAGCATTCAATAAAATTTATTATTTAAAATTATTGATTTTCATAGTTAATTATAAAATGATAATAATAAAAAAACTGTTTTTTTTTTCAATTTTTTATTAAATAAAAATTTTAAATTGTATATAATTTTATAACTTTGTTTATTTTTCATATATTACAAGATATATAATTTAAAAAAAAGTCTTTTATATATGTATACATTTATAATATATAAGTTAAATATTAATTTTTCTATAAAAATTATTTAACTTATATTAAAAAAATTATATTAAAAATTATTTTAAATAAATATTAATTCTAATAAGATTATAAGAACTAAATTCAATTTTTGTTTTTTAAACCATTTTTTAAATAAGATTTTTGTTTTATTGAATATTTATAAATTATAAAATATCCTTTATATTATTTTATATAAATTTGTATAAAAATAATAAAGTTTTAAAAAACATATTATTCAATTATTATTAATAAATATAAAAAAATATTGATTGTAATTTTATTTTTTTATTTATTTTTTTTTTGATAAACATCAATTCTTTATTATACATATATACTAAGATATAACTTTGAAAAAGAACCTACATCTCTCATAATACATGAGTTAAATACTAGTTTATCAAAATATCTATCTAAACTATATTAGAAAAGAAAATTTAAAACTAATATACTGTTTAGATAGTTGCATGACA